ATGTGGGCAAGCTGGTAACTGGAGCTAAAGCCCTGCCCATTCCCCATCCATCCCTGTCTACTTGTCCCAGGCTGGAGGCATGAAGCAGTTGGTAGCCCTCAAAGGGCATAAGTAGAGTTCTTACTTTCTTGTGTAATCACATAGCCCAAGTCACAACATAGCCCCATGCGTGGATCTGAGAAAAATTATAAATTGAGTTCTGTGCAGACATTAAAAACCCCTTAACTTTCTTCACTAAAATACAGCATCTCCCCTTGCAGTTGAGATGTGCTGCATATGAGTCCTCTTCCCATTTAAGTGGTTCTGTGTGTGCGTGCATGTGTGTTCTATATATAGTCTATGAAGCACTTGGTTCTGAGATTAAAATGTAAAGCGGCAGTAGTACAAGCAGAAATAATTTATGAACTTCAGCCACCTTGCCTGAGAAGCCAAAAGTGAGCTGTCTGCATATATAAAGCTTTACACTTCTTTAAACCAGGGCCCTAAATAAAGACGTGCATTTGTGACAGTCCTTGGAGGACTCTGGTTCCAGAAATCAATGCAAAGATACGCACTGCCTAAGAAGTAACATATCTGGGATAGAGTAATTTTCCCTGTAAATTTGATTTCTGTGTTACATCTTCCTCTTCCTTTTTCCCCCACAGAAAATATGATAGTAACCAAAGCCTACTTAATGTGAGCATCCAAAGAAGATTGGTTGTTAGTTTAACCTAGACAGGTAGTGATTATAGTTAATTAAAGTTCAAGCTGTGTTTCTGTGTTGCAGGTGATGAACAACAGGACAGCTCCCTCAGGAGCTCGGCTCTGAGATGCACTGGCCCTCAAGAGTGCTCCTTACCTGGCAGGAAAGAACTGCTACTAATACTGTAACCTGCAACAGTATGCAGTATATAACCTACATATAATCTAGATACCCAGAAATCACTCTTCTCTACCCTTTCCTGTCTCTTTTGGATAGCTAGCAGGGACAGTTCAACACAGTTCTTCCTGTTCCTTCAGCATCTGAAATGGATATGTGTGTGGTCTGTGCAAGGGTATAAAGCAAATGGTTCCTCTTCTCCCTCCCTCTTGGCTCAAGGACTAACACAATCAATGGATGCTCTCTCTCCCACCCTCCCCTTTTCATTGGCCCAATTCAGCAACCTTTCCTCCAGTTGTACACAACAGGACTCTTACGCTTGATCGAAGGCTTCTTAACATAAGATTGCAGGCCGTAAGGCAAGAGTGTATGAGGACTGAAGTTCATTTGGCAGGCTGCTCAACTCTTGAGGTCAGACTCTCTATTAATAATCTTCCTTCTTTTCAAAGCTATAGTTCCTCAGTCTGCTGGCAATAGGGCTTGAAAGGTCTATATGAACCACTTAAACAGCAGCCAGAAGCAGAAGCATTTCAGTACAATCCAGTATTGATTTTTTGTCTCTAACCTCTTTGTTACTAAGACTACTTTCAATGCTGTGTGCTGTGGGAATCTTGAAGTTTAAGTGAACATATTTCAAATCTCAATAACTGTGTTCTCATTTGATACTAGAGGCGAGTTAGAGTGAATGCATCCTCTAGGCTTCTCTGGCATCATGCTTTGGAAATTCAAAGAACAAAACAACATATGATGATGTACAGTGATTTGGCTTTGTTTATTTGCAGGACCCTTGATGTTGTCTGAGATTCGAAACATGGCATCTTTAAGTCAGTATATGAAATATATTTGGCATGGGTTCCACACAGGGGGTTAAGCAGAAAAACAGATAAAAAGCATAAGGCAGGCTTATCTGCATAATGAAATTACAGTGCGTTGTAATACGCTTTAACTAACACTAGGCTAAAAACTCAGGGTCTTCATATAGCTAATGGCTGCAGATGATCCAGATGTCTCATTACATCTATGTGGGAGTTCTTCATCTGTGTAACTGATGCCAACCACCTTGGTGTACAGAGAAGACACAGGCGTTGGACGCATTCTTTGAATGAGTGGAAGAGGAGACTGACTTGCCTTTGAGACGGTGTACAGAGGAGTAGGGGAAAGGGTGACCTTGCTCTGTTCATGTATTCCTGTATCAGCATACCCACGCATGAGGGAGAGAGAACATGAGCAGGCTTTGCAAAGTAGGAATTAAATGGAGAGTGGCAGGGCATGAGGGCAGTCTTGACTCTACTCTCACCAGGTCACTAGAGCTGAATCAGCGCAGGAGAAAAAAAACAAAAAAGTTAAAGTAACTGGGTGCTTGGTAGAGAGTTGGTGTAAGGAAGGAGGGAGGGAGTCAAGGGAAAAATGTGACTTACTCTAATTGACTGTTTCTTCTTTGGGTAGCTCCTTCGATATGGAAAATACTTGATGTCCCTTACTGAAGAAAGGCATAAAATCTTGGTCTCCTCCTCCTTACTAATTTCTGATCAATACATTCAGAGGTTGCCCTTTTTCTTGTCATGCAAAGGATGAAAAGACAACAAACAAATATTGAACATAGTCACTTTCTTCCTACCAGTTTGCATTTCCCTTTTTCCTTTATATTATATTTTACCTTATATAAGGTAAACACACACACTCACATTTTCAGGCTTCAGCATGTCCTTACCAGTTTCAGAAAGTCTCACTGAATGCACGGCAAGTCCTTGAAGAAAGCAATGCCAAAATGTTAGGAAAGCTACTTGGCATTATTTATATTTTAATGCAGTTATATTGATTAGTGTGTCAGATGCTGCTTTATGCTTGATTTGAATTGAATTTCGTTTTTTTTTTTTGTTTTTTTTTTAACTATAAAACCACCAACTCAAGCTCCCTTTTCAATAGGCAGACTACAGTGGGAGAATCATGATTAAAAGACTTTATTTACATTTCTAACTGATCAATATCTTTTAGATACTTCTAATGGGAAGAATTGATTTCTCTCTCTACAAAAAAGGATTTAATCAATTTTGCTTCTGGAAATGTTTTATTCAACAATAGCTGAATTTCCTTGTGTACAAATCAGTCAAAGTAGAGCTATTATTGGAATAAAGAATCTTTCTGTGCTGATAAAGATATGCCTTTTATTATTGGAATAGAAGTCTATTGATTTTTTTTGAAACATTAAAAGAGCTTACCATCATACAAACTCCTTGATGATATAAAGGAAAAATGTCATTAAAAATTCACTGCAAATTTTAGCAAGACATGATCTGGGTTGCTTTTGCTAGGAAGTGCATGTGGCTGGGGGTTGTTCTGAGCCAAACTCAAATTACTGTTATATCAAAATTGCAGTGGTTGTTCTGAACTAAACTCAAATTACTGTTATATCAAAATTGCAAATATTTGAAAATGTTTTGTATTCAGCTATTTTGGAGGCAACCTATGATCCACTTATTTCTTTAGCACTACACCTGCACTCAGGAGACCTGCATTCTCTTCTTAGCTCTGCACCTGGAAAGTGTCTCCATTATATATGTATGTAAGGGAAACGTTAGTTACTTCTTTTGCCAAGTCTTTGACATCTACTGATAGAAATCAGTCTAAGAGATAGGCATTACTATTATTATTCATGCTAAATAGCACGTTACTCCTTGATCAGTAGTTGAGTAAGAATGGCAGAAACCAGCTACAGATTGTTGTCTCACATGTTGTCCAGCTGATTTCTGGAAGATCAGCTGAAGATTCTCTACTGCACATGAACAGGTAGAAGAATCTGCACATAAATGAGCAAAAACTTGTATGCATCTTATTGATACAGTGAGTCTGCAAAACTATTTCACTCTCTAAAGCCATGTTAAAGCTCAAATCTTCACAGTGAAAATCTAATAAATATGTGCACTCTTTGATCAAGTTTTCAGTACTTGGACCAAGTAAATAGAAATATTTCTGCTTCTAAAATAAATATAAACCAGATTACTTAAAAAAAATATTTGTCTTGTCAGTTTTTATGAAAGGGATGCAAATTAAAAACACTAGCTGTTTCAATTAAACTTACAGAGGAAGAAGAAATGTCTCACTTCACAGCTGATTCCTGACCTTGATAGAAAGACACAAGTTCTATGTGATCTCACATATTACCTCAAAATGTTAAAAAGTAGGGATCGAGAAAGAAGCAGTAGAAGTAAAATCTCAGCACTTATTTTAGGGAGCTTTCTAGATTTTTAAGCTGATAGATTTTCTTATCTATAATATTCTACTGTCTTAACTTCTTAACTGTCAAAAATGTACCTAGTGGGCTATATTTAATCCTAGTTCAATTTTCCTGCCAACTGCAAGGATGTAACAAAATGGGTTTTATACTGTCTAGAATAGTACTGAAAACCCCCATAAGGGGTAGACACTGTGCAAATGAGTAACAAAGGTCATCTTTTCCCCATCTGGGAAATGAAGTAGTGGCACTCCTATACTTTTACTAGAGTAAATGCTGTACAACAGGGCTTCTAAGGACCCAAACTAGGTGTTCCTACCTTGCCTGATCCACAGAGCATTCTTAAAGCCTGCCTTCTAGATCAGACCCCACACAAAATCAGGAGGAAGGAGGTAGCAGCATTGGTCCTATGGTTAGAGCACTTACCTGGGTTATGGGGAAAACTAGCACTTAACTCTGATGGGTGGAGTTTCAGTTTCACCCCCTCCTTCCCATTTCCTATTGACCAGCGTGGCAGCCCCTAGCTTAGCTATCTGATTTCCGTAAATCCCACTGGAGGTGCCTAACACTACCTGTGTTCTCTGTGCGTCGTCTACTAAAACTGGGCCCCGAATTCCAGGTGAGGATTCCACTAAGAAGCACGAACTCCAGGAGTTAAGATTGTATCACTGAGCCAGAGTCCCCTTTGCAGAGTTGACTCTCTTTCCAGAGAAGTCCTTAACATAACCCCTACTGACTTGAGTGGGTGGAGTCATTCTCTAAATAGATGTGAGGTGGTAGCAGGTTACTGAAAATAATCCTTATTACTGGATATGTTGTTTAGCAGTAAGAAGATACAACTACTCATATTACCAAGTACATCTTAGCAAAGGAATAAGACAACAGTGATAACGATAGAATTAACTTCACATTGTTTTTTATTTTACACCTGTACAGAACACCGTTACTATTATAATAAGGCATCAAATGCACTATTGAAAAGCTCACATTAACTGTAACATTTTGCCCTGTAGCAGTTCAAAATGCAGATTTACAAAATTAAATCAGTCATTTTCCCAGTTGGTAAACATTATTTACTACAGACAGAGTTTTAAAATAATTAAAAAGATTAAAAACTGTAAACATATTAAAACAGCAACAACCCAGAATGGCTTTCCAGGAGAGAGCTTAAAATGATTTTCTAGGCTTCAGGTCTAGCATTAGAGGATGGCAGTGAGAAAATAAGGCTGGCTGTCCCTGGGTAAACAGGGTGGTTACCAAAACTAAGTAACAGAACCAAAGATCATTTTATGATGGTCCTTGTTTTGCAATACTTGCAAGTAGGCTTTATTCAGTTTAGTATTGGTCACAAATTTCTAATTAAAGAAAGGAAAAAAACAACCCCAAATTACCCCTGTGGACAAATGGGTAAAACTAAGCTGCAGGTTAAATTCTAATTTCGATTATTCTTAAAGTCAGCTTCTGACCTGGACAACATCTGCAGGCCTGGCAGTAGTTGGAGAGTAAGAATCCCTTTAATAGCTTATGCAGACTACCTGGATCTTAGGTCTGGCCATGCAAGAGAGAACTGGTAAATGGTAAAGATCTGGGATTAGGTCAAGTCTTGTCCACAACTTAGCTTTTGACTGATCTGTCATTTAGTAGAGGGTGGTTGGCACATCCTGATTTATTATCCCAGTGCCTTCCAGTTTTACTCAGCCTCCTAGATCCAGCTGGGAAAATTTTGGTATACATGTAAAATGCCAGATTTATAAACCCAAATAATGGAGGCTCCCACTGATCTTGGCAGAGTACGTGGGCAGTGATGGTAAACTTCCCCAGGCTGCCCCTTCTCTTCCATTAGCTCTGAGCAGGAGCACTTGAGTCACCGCTGCATAGGAAGGGGCAATTCATTCTTCATGCCATTTAATCCTTAAATTTTGCTGAGACTTTCTGCTTGGGGTTAGAGGTTATTTTTGTGATGTGAACATTTATCCACTGTGATGTGGATGTGAACATTTGGACTGAAACTACAAACTACTGGCCACCACCAGCCATCAGCGACAGGCTTTGGTCTCTAGCATGCTGTGCTTCATTAGAACCAGAGACCTAAAAGTGAAATGTTGTATTAGCCCATCATTCACTCCCTGAAGCCTGGGATTGAGAAAATGTCATAATGCTTTATTTCCTACCCCAGGTAATCTCCGCTCTTGAAAGCCTCACTTTCCCTTTTCTATAGTAAACAATATTGTAAGAGAAAGAAACCATGTAAACTACATTAATTACGTTTTTGGATTTCCCACATTTTGCTGTGTAGACTGAGGCCATTTTATTAGCTTTTCTTCCTTAAAACATTTATGGAAACCCTGAGGATTCTTTAAAAACAGTTCACTCATGATTGGTGACAGGATTTTGCAAAGAGTCAGAAAACTTCTCACAAAATACAGTATGGAAAATATTCTCTTTCCCAGTGCTAACAACAAGCATTAAGGCATGCCATGGTTCTTATAACGGATTTGGAAACTTTATAGCCTCAGCTACTGTATTTTTGTGGCTATAAAAACATATTCCAATTTTACATGTAGGTATAATAAAAAAAAATAAAAACAACAAATCTGAAAAATTACTAGCCTCTGCTTCAGACCTTTTCCAGTGTGATTAAAAATTTAGAGCAATTAATTTCCAACTACAGGCCTCACATCAGACTAAGTGTGATGCACTGCATGTGCCCATGGAGGCTAGCAAGTTTCTCCACCCATTCAACAAATTGTCATAGGTAGAAAAAAGCCTGTTTAAGCTTTGCTGGATGGAGCTTCTCTGTAAATGTTAGCCTCTGTCCTAGGAAGCTCAGACAGACAGAGGCTATGGAGATACAGTAGTCTTCTATCTTACCCGCCTCCTATAGTGTGGTTTCATTGGGCTTCACACCTGGACATATAGGACTAAGAAACCCCACTAAAACACCACTATGTAGTGGGCATCACACCCCAACTGTTAGAGGTGTAACCAGCAGAGGAATTTGGCACCCTGGGCAGAGAGGAATTTGCACCCAAGAGTGGAGAGAAGGAAAATGCCAAGTGCCAGAGAGTTTTACAGCATACGAACTGCTATTACAGCTGCTGCCAGGTGTGGGCTGATACAGCTGCAAAGCAGCCTCCCCACATGGGGCCACCATTCTGCCATCCCCTCTAAATTGGCATGCAGGGCTGGTGCTCTGCTCACCCATCCCTAGTTATGCTACTGCCAACCATGACTGAGAGGAAGCATTGTCTGAGTAGCATGCTGCTGCCAGTAAGGGCCAGTAGCAGACCATCATCTACCTGGGGGAAAGGGTTGGCAGGGGAAAAATCTTCCCTACCCGTATTACAGTTCTTTTTATCATCTCTGTTCATCATTCTTCTGGATTCAGATGGGCCAAAGCACCACCTCTTACATGGATGTAGAAGCTCTTTTTGATTTTTGAAATTTACTCCTGGTAAGAACTGGATTAATGATGGCACATCCGCATGGCCACAGGAATGGCCCCTAAAACCAGTGTTTAGATGCTTACCCCGGTGAATCCCAGCCCTCACACACAAACACACACTTCTGGAACGTGGGCATGGTCCACTGTGCTCCTGTTACAATGGCCTTATATCTGTCCCCAAAACTACAAAACAACAATGAAGGAAATGACAGTCTGCATGCCATAACATTTTGAGTGGCATCTCTATTTCTGAGCCAACATTAAAGCACCAGAACAATACAACATTACTTACAAATAACGTAATATGAACAGTAGGAAAACAGGAATGAGTTCAGATCCTTCTGGCTGGCTGTAAGATGGCTACTGTGTCAGTCAGTGGGCCTTTAGGAAAGAGAGATATAGATGCCTTTGGTGTCTAAATCTATTAACTGGGTAAACAATGCTTCATAATCCTGTGTGAATGCAAGCACACAGGATTAACTGAACAAAAAAGGCTGACCCCAGCTCAACATCAAATACAAGTCCTTCATTTAACTCGTGATATGGAGCAGCCAGAGAGAAGGGTATAATGGACTTGTAGTGGATAATAGACTCCTCAGTGTTCTTCCTCAGGACTCCCTGCTTCCCACCATAACACAGGGTGTCGTTACTAAATCGACAGAATGTTAGCCGGTGCTGAAGTCCGAATATGCTGTGAGCAGTCTCATGTTAAGGGTTAGGACTGTTTCTAGAGTGCTTCTTGCCTGCACAGCTCTGATTTGCCACTAAAGGGCTGGTGTGCATGGATGTAGCTAGGAGCCAGGACTCTATCCCTGCTCTGGGTGGAGAGGAGGCTGGGAGCAGTGCATCCAGGGATGTTGGAGAATTACAAATAGTTCATTTTATCTCTGTGGAGCAGACTGAAGTTAGTCTAAAATGAGTTAGGTAGCACAGCCCAGAGTTAGCCCTGGTCTGAAGTGGCATAACATTGAAATGCTCAGAGGGCCCTTAGCACAAGTTAACGAGCTTTAATGTGTGGATGCTTGCATTTTAAGTTGCCTTAGTTTGGTCCAGGTGTAACATGCAACTTCACCCATAAAGAGGTGAGAAGGAAGGGATCTGCAGTCTATTTATATTAACTGAAAAACACACTGCAATATTACAGAATTAAAAGAAAGAGCTAAGGTGGCAAGCTCCTTCCCAAACATACCTAATCAGAGCACAGATCAAGTATAAAGAGTATCTTCTTATTCAGTTGTTTTGAGTCCCAAACTGTTGAGTGTTCTTCTCAGAGTACCTCCTGCGCTTTAAAGTAGATGCTTATTTTCAACACCCTCTGCTAAGACAGCTTAGCTGCAGCTGTGGGCTACTCCGTCTTACAGAGTAGCAGTACTCATGATCTGGACTATTCATGCAAGGCTGAAGTGGAAATACTGAGAGCCTGTACACCCTAGGTCTGAGTTAGCAAAGTCAAAACAACATTAGGTTTCAGCCTCAGATGAGAGGCTGATTCCTCTGATATGCATTCGAAATTCAAATAGATTTAAGAAATGAGAATGACACTTATTTGAGGGGGTTTGTTATTTTAACAATAATTCACCATTTTTAAACCAGTGGACCAGTGGATCTTGTCAGTGGATCAGAATGTGCCCAACTGGAGTAAATAAAAAAATTATATTGTTATATAACAGGGGTGACCAAACCTCCTAACGCTCTGCAGTAAACCAAAATCTCAACGTGGCCAAGGACTCTTGGACACACTCCCAGATCTCACACCATACAGCACCCATACAGCATCCCAGCACAAATAATAGATCGCTGTTAGATTAAGTTTCTTCAGAAGCCATAATGAAACTTTCCAGGAGCTTCATGTGGCTGGCAAGCTTCAGGCTAGCCGCCTCTACCATGTATGCTGTTTGTTTATTTGTTATTTCCCCCAAACAAAAGATATAAAACACAACTATTACAGCCTTCCCCAGAAGATGGCTGACAATAGTTTCCTTTAGAGTTTAATTTTTTGGCCACTGCGCTACCCATGCCACTAATAATATCACCTATCTTTGACTTGCTACAGTATATGAACTCATTATCTGTCACTCAGTGGCTGGATACCTAACATTTCTCCCTGTGACATTGACTTTTTAAAGCAGCTGATAAAGAAATAGGCTGCTAACTGGAGTAGCATAGAAAGCTATTTTCTGACCCATGCAAAATGCAACACCTTGCTTTTTTCACTTCTTGGGAAATTGGAAGGGTTTGTAGCCATAATGGATTAAAAGCTACATCTGAAGAGGACAGATGATACGGACAACTTCAGAACAAGCAGAGTTCTGCTCCCTCTTCTAAGGAGGTACTTTGTGAGAAAATTGTTCTATCTCCATCCTAGTTAAGTCTTCAGCATTTTTGAGACTCCAAAAAAGAGCGCAATAGATGTCAAGTTATGGCAGTGCAGTTGCCCTATCAGGACAGGTGTCCAGCATCTATCCACTAAACTAACTTCACAGGAGTTAGCAGCCATGGAAGTTAACATTTTTCCTAACACTACAGATTGTAATTGCAGTTGAACCAATGACCTAAAGAAGAAAGGCCCTTTATTTTACTATCAAAGCCTTGAGCCATTTAATCCACTGCCCATTACCCTTTATTCTATATTTTAATAATCATCATTAATTATGCTACTAGTTGGGCAGAAAAGATATTTGTGGTAAATGAATGCATGATGCACTCATGCCAGTCACAGCAAGAAAAGAGGGCAGCTTAAAAATGAAAGCATATAAAAAAAAGACTGTCATCCTTAATTAAATGTCAGTCTTGCAACTTGATTATTGGTCATATCCCTTAGCACATCTACTAAGTAGACTGTTAATAATCCTTATGTAGGCTGATACAATAACAGCTTCTAGGGAGGCAGGATGTTAGTGTTCTGTGTTGGGGTGATCCCAGGAAAGACACTGAGGCGTATATTTTATAACAGGATAAAGGAGCATTTAAGGAACCTGGCAATCACAAATCTGTATTCACTGCTTTCACCAGAAAGTATATTTTATATTGATTATATTATCTCTTGCATGTTTTCCCTAAGAACAAGTATCCATATAATGGAAAAAATCAATTATAAACTTTAAAGGAAAACCTTTCCTGTCAGGCAAAAACTGCATCACTAGCTATCTTTAGCTGTCCTTGCTTTCCAAATAAAACTTCCTTTTCTGTACAAGTGCTGCCTGAGAAATCACGACTACACTAATTATCTATAGCCAGTGCATCCTCTTCCACTAATGATAACTCCAGCGTGTTATCATTGGGGCCCGATTTCATTCTGAAATTGAAAGACCCATACAGCTTTGCAGACTCCTTGGAGGATGCAAATCTATTCCTCCTGTACAGCTCCCCTTTCCACATAGACATCATTAATAAACTGGACAGCACCACGCCCCCCAGAGTTAAGAGACACAGACCTGCGATCACACACCTATCCAAGTGAGCTCCGATTCTAGCGCTCTCGTTCTCCAGTCTCTCCATCTCCCTGGCAGCTACAGTGTTAGGATCCACAGTCACATCTCTGGGTACCAAATAGGAAATAATCACTAGCAAAATTCCACTAACCAGGAACAAGATGGCACTAATGAACCCATAATCTATAGATTTCCCTGAGGCAGCTTCCGAGGCAGCGTCATCCTCTTCCTCAGAGATCAGAGAGGGAGAATCATGAACCCACTCAAGTGGGATCTCTCTGCAAGAACTGTCCTGAGGAGGGGGGTCCTGGCCCTGACAGCAGCTGCTCACAACAGAAGGGGCGCTTTTTGGATGCTCCAGGTTGACATTTTCATCCACGGAAGTAAATGAGGTCTCTAGTTCCTGAGCACAGCAGCAGGCTCTCTTCTTGTCTGCCTCCTCTTCTCCATCCAGGGGAGCCGGCTGGCAGCAGGGCTGGGTGCTGCCCAATGCTTCCGGACACGGCCCAGAGGTGGAGGAGGTAGGAGTGGTGGGACCTGCTAGGACTGCCCTCTGTGTGGACTTGCAGTGCCTCTCGCAGCAGAGAGCTGCCACTGCCGTGGCCGTTCTCGCGCTCCCATCACCCCTACTGTGCGGCTCGTAGGGAGAGGCACGCAAGCTCCAGTCCACATCGTTGCACAGATCGGATCGCCTGCCCTCCCTGGCGAGGTACAGCAGCTCCATGCAAGCCATCAGAGGCTTCTCCCGCCAGCCGCGCTTCAGGATGCTCTGTCAATAACAACCAAGCGAGATCATGGCACGAGAGATGCTGATCACTGCACTCCTCGCTCGAACCCCTCTCTGGCCAGGCGGGGGGAGCCCACCGCGAAACCCTTAAACGCCTTTCCTGTGCCACGCGTTGCTTTTCAGGCTGCAACAACAGGGGCGAGGGGGGACCCCCAACCTCAGGATGATGCATCAAAAAGGCGGCGGGAAGGTCACACAACTATTCCAGGGGAAGCACACTGATGCACATGAACTACACTGTGTTTGTTTGGCGATGGTTTGCATCCAGCCTTGGGAGCTCCGGTCCTCTGGCAGGTGCAGTCAGTCCCCACGAGGGGCTCCCCCGGCCACGCCAGCATCCCGCCAAAGCCCGGCGGAGAAGCCCCAGCACGGA